CAAAATGATTCAATGTTTTTCTTTCAGTAGTACATGTACAGGTATCTAGGCAATGTTTTACTTTTTGGAAGACAGTTACATGTATGTTTCTGTGGAGGAGGACTGCGTTTGAAAATGGAATGAAAATGAAGATGAAATCTACCTGATACCGGTACATACCTGTACATGACTGTACATCTTCATTGCAGTTGGACTTTTCGTTATCAGCAGGAATTTCAATATTGAGGGAACATAAAAATACACTGGAGAAAGCACTTGGCGGAAATATACCGTTAGAACCAAAATTAAAGCATAGTGAAATGAGGTACTTCATTGTAGCTTTGCAGACTGGCACTGTGTGGAACATGAATGAAATTCTAGTGTAGTTTCCCTTAACCCTAACCGCCAAGCATATTGATTGGCTTACACTACACAGTACTACAAAATACTAAGTAATAGTCTGAGCCTGAAGGACCTAGCGCTAAAGATTACTACTTCTGGCTAGGTTACTTCCATTGTTATTCGTACAGAGAACAATAAAGCCTTGCATTCATAGTGCCACAGCACCGTATGGTACAAATACATTGTCTTTTCTATTGTATCTTATAGCTTCATAGAACAATAAAATCATGTCCTCTTACAAGCGACAGCGCTCAGTACTACAGTTTACTACAAGTAGTAATTTGTAGTATTACATTTATGTAGGGTTTGGGTTAAAGAGAAAGTCTTTGAAGACAAAAATTTGACATTTTAGAAATTTGCTCTTTATACCGCACTGTATCTTAACCCTAACAATCCTCCCAAATCCTCCTATTTCAATATGATTTTGCATACACCCTAGGGGTTAGGGTTAAAGGGGAAAAAGAGAAATGATACCAGTAGATGACAAAAACAGCTACATGTACATGTAAAGTGTTTCCAGTCTCTAACTGGGTAAGGAGCAAGCTCGATATGCATTGTAGGCTACACTGTGTCCCAGTTTGTACTGCCATTATTAATCGTTCAGTAATTTGAACCGTGCCTACTTGGGTCACGTCTTAATCAACTGGCAGTGGTTAAAAGTAACCAACACATCCATTGGAACTACATGTAGCTGCAGGCTTCCTGTCACCACCCTAATGTTCAGACACCTAGCATGTACAGGCACTCCATGTACATGTACGGGTAGATGCCATACATGTATTCATATTTTCACTCGCGCACTTTTCTGCAGTGTTCTACTAGCCACAGAAGTTAAGCATTTACCGGTAGCTGTGGCCTGATTAAAGTGTAGCATCACTGCAGCAGTAACTTTTCCTCAGACATGATTTTCTGCCACTTTATCCTCTTCCTCAGTATATTGCATCCCTTTTGGGTTAAATTTATTGAAAAGTGCACATTTAGAAACATTTTTAAATTATCCATGCTTTCCTGGACAGCGTAGGTTGCTGTTGTTGTGATGTCATCCAGGGAAAACGTGGCTCAGGTAAGGTTTAAATCGGGATCCAGAATTTGCTCACTAAAAACATTTCAGAGAAAGGGTTGCTTGCATCTTTTATTGCTACCGGTATGTACATGTACATGTACTTATATAATGTATCACCAAAGAACACTGAAGAAAGAATTTAGGTCAACAGATCAAAAAAAGAAAAAAAAGGGCAGGAGATTTTCTGGACAAACCAAAGTAAAATAAATGAGGTTTTCTTCATTGGATGAAATCATGGTTTTGCTCACAAATATGGAAATATTTACATGTACTTCTATAAGAGAAAGGCAGCAAAATGACCTTTCAGATTGTAATTTACGAAAATTAGAAATGAGGTTAACTGAGACACAAAGTTGAATTTTGGAGGTTTGTATTTAAAAAAAATCTTTGCAAAGACCCTTAACAAAATGATGTGTGGCCAGGGAAGCTACATGTACGTAGAGACCTCTGATGTTACTCAGGATGCATGGTAATACATTACTTTGTCACTACCACTTTATGAAAAACAAGCTCTGTGGGAAAAAGAATTTATTGAAATAAAGTTTGGTCAATATTTTCCACCTACCAGTTTTGACAAGAAAGAGGTCAACACATCTAAAAAAAAAAGGTAAACAGTGTGGCCTCTTTGCATATTTATGATGGTGAAACTGTCTATCTTTATGAAAAATTGTGCCCCTACAGTTGACGCATTGAGAGACCTCCAATCAAATACCTGTGCAAGTGCACAGATATGCTCATGTCTTGTTCCAGGCGCTGCTCTTCCTGTGGTATTTTTTTTTTTTTAATGTCTCTGTGGTACAGTGTACATGTACAATGTACCCGCTACCTCCCAGAGCTACATGTACAATGTACATACTCGTCTGTCCGTGGTGTAAGCTACCTGTACATGTAACCTGGTAACCCAAACCTGGCCAGCCTTCGTTTCTGTTCAATTGAGTCAAGTGTCATTCCCCGGGGAATATCTGGAGAGGAAAAAAAACAACACATTCTGGGGGGCGACTTAGGTATTTCTTGTGTGTTTTGTTGAAAGTGATGGAATTAATGATGTGAATCAAATTCATAATTTGCTATTTTGGATGTGTGCTTACCGACACATGTCCAGTACCTACAGTGTCCAGCAGAAACTACATGTAGTATGTACCCTGCATACGTACATGTACAGTACTTGCGATTGGTACTTTCTATTTGATTTGAAAGCATGCTTGACATGCAAATGTTTGGCACATGTACATGTCAAAATACATTTGAGTCTTTGTTGTATTTCCAATGGAGTTTGCAAGGAAAAAACAGGCTTGCAATTTGAAAATGTGCACAATGCAGACACTACACTTTCCATTTGATGATTATGTACATGTATGTACATGCATGTGCATGTATTTATATGTACATGTACCGGTATGTTCTTGTGCCGGTACATGTAAATGTACATAAAGAAACTGTGTTCAACTTCAGGGTTATTACAGAGGCTTCCGTTCATTGCCATAAAAGTTCCATTAGGTGATACATGTATGTATGGACATTTTGTAATTCATTGGAGTAATGGATTCAGCTGAATATCGTACATCGGGACTTCGGTATCTTGGCTTATGAATACTTGTAAATTATATTCAAAGGGTAATTTGTCATGGCCTTACTGTATTCCTGAATTCTTCACAGCATTTAATGAATGTATAATGTACGTGTAGGAATTACGACACAGCGTGTCCATAGTGCGTGAACGGTGAAAAATTGCATGGTTAGAAGCCAGCTGAAGGCTTATCACTCATCCCCTGGTTCCCATGTCATCGCCAAGCCCATCTGCCATTCTTGCCGTACATGGGGAACTACTCTTTTTTATACAAATTGTGCACAAACATGATGTACAGTAGCAGTAGTTTCTGATGAAGAACACACCAGGGACCCATCTTGCAGAGTCGTCAAGCACAGATATCTGCAAAGGCTAGCAGCCAGTTTCACAAAACTTTAGGCAGTGGTGAAACTTCAACATCACACTATGTTACGTCAAATGAGCAAAAGTTATGACAAATGTTATGGAAGTTACCGTAACCTATCCCATCATTTTGGGTCCTGTACATGTACATAAGTGCATTTACATGTAAGTGGCAAACAAATTAGAAACTAACAATTTTACTAATTCATTTTTGGTTAAGACTTATCATTGCTCAACTTAACAAGGTTTACATGACAAATGCACCGTTACTTCAGCTTTTCTGCCTGGTTCTGATGAATGTATTTTTTTTTAAATCAAAGTGGTGGGCAGAGTTTCATGAGTACTGTAGAATACTGAAAAAGAATAGCTGTCGTTAACCACTTCGTGCGGGGCATTTTTCAATGTTGATGATGTTGATTTTTTTCCGTTTTCAAAATCCTTCAAAAATTCATCATTCCATTTAACGGTCGTTTATAGCCACACAAAGTAATCTTCAGGCACTACT